GCTGATCTGCTAAACAACTTTTAAATATTTTGCAGAGCATTGTTGTCTGAGCTATTTATTTATTTAAAACATTTTTACCTCACCTTTCTTTTCAAAAGGACCCAAGGTGGCTTAAGGGTCCCCAACCTTGGGCCTCCAGATGTTCTTGGACTTCAACTCCCAGAAATCCTGGCCAGCAGAGGTGGTGGTGAAGGCTTCNNNAGTCTTTCTTTTCAAAGGGGCCCAAGGTTGGGGACCACTCATTAAAAGGAAAATATTTAAAAGCTAAGATCAGTTAGTTTACAAATATTGAAAAAAGAATTAAGCAAGTATATTAAAACTGGTAATGAGATAAATACTAAAAACACATTTAAAGCAATGATGCACAATGAAGGAATAGGAGAAGGAGATTAGTTTCACTCACAAACAATTCCCATTCACAGACAATGACACTTTCACATCTAGTTTGCTATGCAGTTGTGAAATCTTCACTCATGCTATTGAGATGTCTATAATTTCCAAGTCCAAAAATGCATTTTTCAATCAGAAATTCTGGAATTAGTTCAACAGAAAAAAAACTGCCTGTGCAAAATATGCTTCAAATAGGAAGCAAATGTGAATTGGCTTAAAGGAATTTTTTAAATTTGTGCAAAAAGGCCTTGCTTAAAGATACAGTGGACCCTCGATTTACAGATGGCTCGACTTACAGACTTTTCGAGTTACAGACTTCTCTGGCCGCAAAATTTAGGTTCGACTTGCAGCCGGAGAATCGACCTACAGACCAGAAAAAAACCAAAATGGAACAAAAATGGAAAAAAACCCACCGGTTACGGGATTAATCGGTTTTCAATGCATTGTAGGTCAATGGAGACTCGACCTACAGACTTTTCGACCTGCAGCCACCATTCCAATACGGATTAATTCCATAAGTAGAGGGTCCACTGTAATGAGGTTGGCTGCCCCCTAGTGTATCAGACAATTGGCATGTAAGAGCTTTTTGCGACATGGACTGATCAGTGATATTTAAATGTGAAAGTGGCAGATGAGTTGCTTGAGCATGTAACCAAACATCACCAGCACATCCACTTAATGGATTACATCAGTGGTCCCCAACCTTGGGCCTCCAGATGTTCTTGGACTTCAACTCCCAGAAGCCTTCACCACCACCTCTGCTGGCCAGGATTTCTGGGAGTTGAAGTCCAAGAACATCTCGAGGCCCAAGGTTGGAGACCACTGGATTACATAGTGAAAAAGGACACAGGCCATAATTGGTTTACTGGCAGTTATAATGGTCTGTTCAAATACCTGGTTCCACACATTCCATCTGAGACAACAAAAACATACAGTAATCAACTGGCCACAGAATTGGTCCTTTCACAATCCTATCCACACTTATGCTTAATCAACTGAACTTGCTTCCCAGCATTAAATTTTAGCCAGTTTCTGTTCTTTTTAGGGGCAGAAAACTTTAAGATGGAGACCGTCTAAAATTCACAGGTGGACTTTTATGTTTACAACAGTGTAAGATTAAACTCTTCTCCCTTGGTTTTAACTAGAGCCTGGTTATTGCAATACCAACAGGGTGTCACCTGCAATTTCCACATATGAGTGTTTCTCCAGCTTCACCACAACTGAGACATGGTGGAGACAGAAAGACTTTACAGATCTGTCTGTTTTTGCTCTTTTTTGCCATTCTCTCATTCTAATTCATAGAATCATAGAATAATCGAGTCAGAAGGGGCCCATAAGGCCATAAAGTTCAATCCCTTGCTCAATGCAGGAATCCAAATCAAACCAGATGTGACAATTGTCCAATTTTCTCTTGAATGCTTCCAGCATTGGACTACTCAACACCTCCAGAGATGACTGGTTCCATTCCTTCTTTCCTTTTCCATTTTGTTCACCCCAACTCTTTTGTAATGCCTTCTGCAATGAAGGGTCTTGTTAACTCTGAGAGCTTGCACACAGTTTCATCCTTTTGGATTATTGTTGGTGCTGGAGGAGACTCTCGAGAGTCCCCTGGACTGCAAGGAGAACAAACCTATCCATTCTGAAGGAAATCAAGCCTGAGCGCTCACTGGAAGGACAGGTCCTGAAGCTGAGGCTCCAATACTTTGGCCATCTCATGAGAAGAGAAGACTCCCTGGAATAGACCCTGATGTCAGGAAAGTGCGAAGGCAGGAGGAGAAGGGGACGACAGAGGACGAGATGGTTGGTTCATGTCATTGAAGCTACCAACATGAATTTGACCAAACTCCGGGATAAGTGGACGATAGCATGCTCTGGTCCATGGGGTCATGAAGAGTCAGGCATGACTTAAAGACTAAAGAACAACAACAACAAAATAAAGGAATCACCATAACATGGAGTTTGGGTTATAGGATTTTCTCTACCAGTGAACGTGATCACTATGCATGAATGATTGCACCAGTCCCTTCATACCCTCTCCCATATTTATTTTAAGCTGGAAAAGAGAGAGAGATTTGTATTTTGATTGAAGTTAAGTGCCAACCAGAAAGTAATTTCAAAATCTTGCCTTTATTGAGCCAGAAGAAAAATTGATTTCGGAGGAGACTGTCTATCAATAGTGATCTATCCACTTTCCAACAGGCTTTTAATGCTTCAGCTGACTGAAAAAAAATACAGCTCGTGCCTTTTAAATCTAGAGAGCCAGAGCTTTATGTTTTTTAATTTTCTAGACTGCTGAAAAGATCTATAGAACTCAAATGTTTCCCTAATTGGTGCATTATACTAGTTTATCTTAATAAAGGTATTGCCAACCTGTGGGTGTAGGAGCTTGGAGACATCCAAAGGTAGTCAGTAGGTCTGGCAACATGTAAGGACCATCCCATGTATAATACAGCATATTTACATATCCTGGAATCAATGAAAATTGGATCTTCTGATTACTACTGCCAATCAATCATCAATAACCTGATCTATAAGATACATAATAAGATATATTGCTTTGGAGTTTTCCCCAAAGCTGAATGAAAAACATAAATGGCCTTAATGGTGATGCTATAGATGCCAGTGTTTTCCCCATATTTTTTATAAAATAAAAATATATTTATTTCATTTTTATTAAATCCCTCATGAAAAGATTTCTGATCTCATCTAGATGACTTAAAGCACATTTCTTGGCTAATAGTGACAGAGCAAACAATCTAATTTCTCCTGATATTAGTGCTTTGCTGTGTGAACACGTTCGGTATTATCAAATAGAAAATGGGAAATATGGCACAGACATTGTTATCTGATAGGTAAGAAGGTTAGTCCAGCTCACCCTTCTGACTAAGCTCAATGCTGAAATGATAGCAAGAGACATTTTTAAACATGCCCTTTCTCACACAAGGTATACTAAGTTGGGTAGTAATGCTAAGCGTCTACATACTTCCCTAATATTGTTACAAAACTATGATAATGAAAACTTAGATTTATGGGTGCGTTCTCATGATAAGTGAATGTGAATTAGGAACTTTCATAGGGCGGGACCAACCTTGTAAACATGATCATAAAATTTACTAGCCCGTGTAGCATTTTACCTTGCCTGTTAAAAAGCTGGTGCTTTAATGCCGATTATTGCAAAGAAGTCCCCAGGTATGCGGCAAGTTTCAAAATTCAGTATACCGACAATCACGAGTTGGTAAAACCAAGCAATTAGCTGGGGTCTACCAGGGAGATGGGCAGATAGATAGGCAGGGGAAAAGACAAAAGGCAGGTGTCAGTGCACACGTGCAGACCGCGGACTCGGATTCAGATCTTAAGTACGTACTCGTCACAGTAATAAGGCAGCACAGGAGGCACAGCTTTAATTGCTCGTAGTTTTAAAAAATTGTCTTTTAATGTTAACCACCGTTGTATACTCATTGTTTTCAACTTTAAATATTGTCTTTCATTGTTGTAAGCCGCTTTGGATCCTTTTCAGGGAGAAAGGCGGGATAAAAATATTTAAAATAAACAAACAGACAAACCGTAGGTCAGACATCCTCTGGCATAACTGAATTTAAAAGGAACAATGCAACCCTTCTCAGCATGTGCAGAACGCGTGCCCCTCATTACAGCCTACCTTCTTCCCTATATATCTCATATGTGTGTGTATATATCTCATGTGTGTGTGTGTACACACACACACACACACACACACACGAGATTAAAGACAGGGTCGAGCTCCAGTAACACCGCTCTTTAGAATAAACCCACAAGGAGACTAACCTCCGCCCACCCCCGCTCTTGCATTAACTCGTTCACACAATCCAAAAACTCTGTTTGATCGGAGGACGCTCTCTGGCTCGAGAGAGCTGCCTATCGCTTCGCCTGTACAGAAAAGCGCGCCTGTTTCCCCGCCGATCCGCACACTCTCCTTAAAAATTTTTTTCCCAAAAAATATATATTGAATTTTGGGAGAAAGTCGACTTTCTCTTGTTCATTTTATAAATTTAAAATATTCGCATTATTTTAATCCAGTGCAAAGCGCCGGGAATGACAATGGACCCCTTCTTCTTTTTCGGGAGGTTTGAAGTGGTGAAGCGTGGTGGGGGTGGGTTCAGCGGATCTCCCGCACAATTGGGCTCCGTCGCTGCTTTTTATTATGAAAGGAGCAGCTCTTTTGAGGGGCGACGAGCCAGCGCTGATGGGCATAGAGCGAAACGCCGGGCCCGGGGGAAACCCTCCTAGCCGGCCTGTCTCTCTCCCCGGGCGCCTCTTAAGAGTCGCTTGGTGCCCATTCAGAATGTATCAAGGGAAAGCTCTCCCAAACAGAGCCGGCGTGTTATTTTCCACTGACATCCCGCGGATCAAACGGCATCTCGAGAAATGTTTGGACAACATGTTTGCCACCTTAGCACCCCTTCCGTTTCTTCTGGCTCTCTGTCCCCAGAGAGCCGATTGCCACGATGAGAGGAAGGGCCTCCCTCAAGGGAAAAAAAAGGCCTATTTGTATACAGAGAGGTTTGGGTGCTGAGGACTCGTGCGTGGGATCGCACAGCACGGGGGGGGGGGAGCCGGGCTCAGGGAGGTCCGGCCAGCTTGGCGGCGCAGCCGGTCTCGAGTCTTCGCCGAGGCCGCCCCGCTTCCTCCTCAGATGGGTCCCGCCTGCCGGCTTTGCCCGCTCCTCATCGGCGGCTTGCCTTTCCCTCAGGCAGCGAGCGGGGCAGCCCTGCGACCGCAGCGTCGAAGGACCCGTTTCTTTGGCGGCCACAGCGAGCGTGGTGGGACTGCCCGCGAATCGGTCCGGCCAGGAGTTGGTCTCAAGCGGCGGCGGCGGAGGCACCACCACCACCACCGCCACCTGTACCGCCACGGGCGTCGTCGTCGTCGTCAGAGCCTGGCCGCTCCCGTCATCATGTCCGTCAGCGAGATGTTCATCACGTTACAAGGGGTGCTGACGGCCGACCAGGATATCCGCGAGGTGAGCGCGGGCCCGGGCGCGGTTTCCCCCGCTCGGGTGTGGGCAGCCCCGTCCCTTGGGCCCCTTCGAGGGCTGGATCCGGAAGAGGCCCCGGCCTTCAGCCTTGCTCGCTCGAGGGTGAGGCTGGAAGCCGTGCCTTTCGCCCTTAAGCGTCACCGTCTGAGGCGGGAGGCCCGC